GCTTCTGGTTTTTCCAAGAAAATTGCCAAAAAAGGAAATTTTTTAGGAAATTTAGGATTAGCGGAAAGAGTTTTTTTCTTTTTTAAATCATTAATTATATAATTAAAAATTATAAAATTTATATATATTATATATTATTACTTATTCTACTTCTTATATTTTTTTAAAAAAATTTTTGTGAATAGATTCTAAAGTTTTATTGTTATTAAATATCTTTATTTTTTTATTAATTATTATATAATTTATGATATCAGCCAATCAAAATTCTTCAAAAAATAAAAATTTGATAAAGAAAGAAATTTTTTTTTTAACAATAATAAAACTTTAAAAATTATATATAAAAATTTTTTTAAAAAAATATAATAAATTAAATTGATATTAAGATATAATATACAGTATATGAATTTTATAATTATTGATTGTATAATTAAGGATTTAAATATTGTCAAAGTTAAAATTTATAATAAAAACATAGTAAGTGGACTCAAACTTTTGGAAGCAATTATATTATAAATTAGATATATTAAATATAATAAAAAATAAAAAAATTTTTTAATTTCAAAATAAATATTTTAAAAATTTTACTCGTAATTTGCATCAGCCGGGAGTTGAACCCGGGCCACTCGCTTGGAAGGCGAGTATTCTGCCGCTATACTACTGATGCTGCTTGTTATAAAGTCTTCCATTTTTAAAAATATATAGCTAATAAAATCCAATCTTACCATATATTTTGCCATTACGTAATGGTGATTAATATGGTATGCTTCCCATTACCACATGTTTTTTTTTAATTGAAAACGATTAAAATAATCTATTTTGGATAATGAACAATGAAAAAAGATAATCTTTACCTCTCTTTTTGTTTTTTTCGAATGCAATTAGATTTCCAACGTTTCCAATGTTACCAAAAGAACTTCTCTTACGGAACAGCTTACGATGATTATAAAAATATGAACAATGAATTATAGTAAGAGAAATATTTTTCTCTTTCAACTATTCATGATGAGTTTCAACAGAACAGTCTAGAAAAGCTTTCTTTGTGGAAAAAATTTTTTTATAAAAAGCATTCACGCTTTCGTCTCGGATCAAAAAATTATTTCATAGCCAGAATAAAACTTGAGTTCAAAAAACACCACTTGAGCACTAGTAAATAAAACAAAACTAGAATTCATAAAATATAATCGGTACATTAACATGACTTCATTACTTCGAGGCAATTATTGTACAAATGCATGTGAGAGGTGTTATAAGAAGAAACTCAAATGTGATAAGGATTCTAATGGTATCGCCTGCAGCCAATGCTTCACAAAAAATTTCGAATGTAAGACTAGAACGAAAAAGAAGCCAGGTCCAAAGTCTAAAAACAAAAATAACGATGATAATAGTAATTACAGCCCTGATGATCTGGACATTCGAGTTTCTTCAGATAGAAACTCTGATAGCGATTTTACAGATGATGGGGCTCGTTTGAATGGTAAGTTAAATATTTATTTATGCATTCTTGTAACCTTTCTATCAATTTTTTACTTATGATAATTTTATATGTCGATTTTAGTCTCCGCTCTATACTCATTGTCGCCAATATCTCCAAATTATTCCAGCTCTCCCGCAGTTAGTTCTCTAACTAATCCACGCGATCAAAATTCAGACTTTCCATTTCACGCGATAGAATTAATAAATACAATGTCAATACGTGAGGTAGATAATCTTGAGACGAACGATATTTTGAGTTTATTTAACGAACATGCATTATCTCCAACAATGAGTAGTGATAATTCTGAGGACGATGATGGTTCTGGATTGGGTATAAATTTTGGGAAAATATAATGGAATTGTTGATAGAATTTTATGATATATAATAGTATAATATCTTTTGAACGGAGGGACTTTAGAGAGATAGAATGATAACTAGATTATTCAACCTTTGCATTTCATTTGAACTTTTCATAACATCACTCTCGGAGAACTCAAAACACAGCTTCTAGAGTAACTTAATCAGGATTACATTAAATTATCTTAGAAATATACGTATGTTCGTCGATTCATTTATAAGACTTTTAGCCACTAAACAATTAAACTTACGTCACGACATACAGTATATTGTATAAATTCACTTAATATGAATAGATTAATTAATAACATGCATGTTCTATTAGAGAAATACGAAAATTTTACTCATTTATACTATAGAAATTTTAACAATAAGTCTTTGCATGAGCCATTAATAGTTGTTATTAAGAATACTTCAAGAATCCAACTTTGTAACGATTTGATTAAACCTTGCTTAAAAAGAAATACGCTTAAAAAATAAAATATGTGATCGTATAAAAATCTTTTTGAATACGTATATACACCTATTTGCTAGAATGTATAGTAAATTTGGAATTGGAATTTTAGAAACTTGATATACTTTTTTTGGAGGATTATTTAAATTTATCAATATGCGTCTTGTTATATTGTTTAATTACTTAAAAATATAGTTACTGTATATAAATATTACCGTATAGTGCTGCATAAAGTACCCCCCTTGAATAGTATCTCTTCAGATTTTTTAATGGTGATTTTTTTTTTTTTTTTTACTAATTAACTTTTTGCCTAGATTGATTAATACCGGGGTGCTTTATATAGGGCTATATTATTTATGATTATTAAAAATAAAGGTTTCAGGTAAAATATAAAAAACAATTTAATTTCTTAGAATTTTAAGAATTTATAAGTTTACAATTAGATATTTAAAATTTTTAAATTTATATATATAGTATTTATTTAATGCTTACATTGTTTTTCTTGATTTTTTTTAAAAAATTACATATATTACAGTAGGGGACAAAAAAAATTGCCTAAATTTTTATTATAATTTCTAATTTATTTATTTAAAAAATGTAAAAAAATATTAATATAAATATTTTATTTTAGTTTTATAAAATAATTTTTAATTAAAATAATTTATATTTATTTAATAATATTATTTTTAATTTTTTTTAAAAATTTTATTTATGAAGTTACAGTATATAAATATTATAAAAAATAATATATTATTTTATAACAAATTAGATATAAAATTATATTTAAAAAATCAAATTTATATATATTAGTTTGTAAAATTTGTATATAATATAAAATTTTTTAATTAAAATAAAATATAAAATAACAATAATAATAAAAATTATAAAATAAACCTATGGGTCTATAGCATAGTGGTAATGTTCCCAGGTAAAGATGGGTTTCTAAAGGGGGAGACAAGGACAAAAGTCAAATGTCCCTCACTAGGAAACATTAAAATTATTAAATTAATAACTATAAAAAAACTATTCATAATTGTTTTCCATTATCCAAATTATTGATTTATAATATTTTCTGACTTTTGTCCCTATTAAAGTGAAAAGTTATGAATTTTGTTCCTCAAAAAAGGACATAAGTGATCTGCAAAATTTTATATACTAAATACTTTAGAGACCCATCATTACTCCCAGGTCACAATCACAAGGTCTAGAGTTCAATACCATCTAAAAATCAAGTAAAAAAAAATAATTAGATTGAATAATGATAAAACTTCTGACCTCTCCATTGATCATTGGGCTGAAATAGATCTATTACAAGAATTGCATAGAGAAAGGTCTCTGGTATAGTTATACAATTTATGCCTGCATATCACCCTGAACTAAACAGAAAAAGAAATTCTAGAATCCTGCTTTTAGGATTGCGATAACTGTTTGATACTCTCTAATAAAAAAACTGTACAAATAGACCCTAGAACCTAATTATTCTAGTTTGAAATATTCTAATCCAGTACTTGCTTAAATGAAAGACTTATTAAATAGAGTTTGTTTGTGATATCGCAAGTGGTGACAAAGAAAAAAGAAATTCTTTCTGAGATTCAAGTAAAAAGTATTAGAGTATTTGAGTAATTAAAAAATTAATCCTTGCAGATTTAATCTAGTATATAAGTTAGTATAAATATAAGAGTCTAATTGTAAAAACAGATATACCAACTATATCAACATTGCTATTTATGACTGTTATCAACCATCAGCTCCTAGTTGAGTCTGCCTTATTTTTAGAGTAATATTTAAATTTAACTAGGACAAGTCACAATAGATTATTATTAATATACATATATATAGAAATATATAGTTTATATGAGATAATTGGTATTATACCAAAGAATCTAGGTCCAAGTTTAAGTTAATTTTTAATAAAAGGCTCATATCTAATACCAGTTGTGGTTAACAAAAAAAAAATAAAATAAAATAAATATTATAAATAGTCTTAAGTAAAATTAATTTTAAGTATTTATATATTTATATATTAAGTTTAATTTAATTTAAATAATTTTTTAGTAAATTAAATATATTTGAAAAAAAGACAAATTTTTTGTTTTCTATTGTATATATAGTTTTTAAAATTTTGTTATTATTAAAAAAATTTTTTTGATAACTATTATATAATTTTTAATAATATTAATTAAAAATATTTATAAGAAGATCTATGAATTAATAGTCTAATAGTAATACTTCCATATTATAATTACAAGATCTATAGTTTAATATTATTTAAAGATTAAAATCAAAAAAATTATTTTTTAATCAGATTTGTTAGTTATTTTGTAAAAGTTATATTCAATTATTTAAAAGAATATTAAAACAAATTAGGCTATATAAAAATAGAACTTTCGATCTTTTATTAATAAAAGTTGAAATTTATAATTATACTATTGAAAAAATTGTAAAAAGAAAAATTTTTAATTTAATTTATTATATATATTCTAAAACTATTCTATCTTAACAAATTTCAAGATCTTTACTCTTCTAGTTCAAGATATTTCTATCTAATATTCCACTTAAATAAAAAATATATTAATAAGAATTAATTTAATATCATAAGTAATAATAAAGAAAATAAAATATCTTCTTTTAAAATTTGAGTAAATGATATTATAAAATGTAATAAATTGCATAAATATATATGAAAAAAATTTGATTTAGTAAAACAATAAAAAGTTGTAAGCTTAATACTAACTAGTTTATTTATATTATTAATAACTATATATTAACTATTTGATTTCTAATTAAATTTATTTATTCAAAGAATGATAATAAATCTAACTAAAATAAATTACAATAAATTATCGTTAATTTGAATATATAAAAAACATATAGTTTATAGTATATAATATAATTATTATTATTTTTTTTTTTTATAACATGCAATTATATCACAATAGTATGTCTTTATTGTGATATTGAAAAATATTACAAAGTTTTAGACTTTCACAAAGTGACTAACTCATCATTGTACATTATTAGTTAAAGTACTATACTACTTAAAAAATATAAGAAGTCCACTAAGCTAGTTTGAATTAAACAAAACTAAGTCTAAACTAGATACTCTAAGTCAGATTTTGGAAATAATATCTCATTCTTCTAGTAGCTTGGCATTAGCCTCTAAGTCAATCAGGATCATTACCAATAGTTTGTCACTATTGATTATTCCAAAAAATAATAAATTGCTAAAGTTGGCATTAGAAAAAAAAAAAAGAAAAAGAAAAACAATTCAAAACTCTCCAAAAGATTCTTGCTCCATTTTACAGTTTCCTCTCAAAAGAGGTTTATCTAATTGGAATATTCTCTAAGTTTCATAACATTTGAGAAACTTAACCATTCCTGAAAGTGACTTTAAGAAGAACATTTAAGAAACTTATCCTTCTGCCAATATACAGATTCACTTAATGCTACTGAAGCTAGCATCATATTATGGAAGTGATTACCTGATCAGGATAAAGAAATCTTTTCAAGAACTTTGCTTGACCAGGATAGAAGCTTAAAGATCTCAACTTTTGTTCAAGAAAGTCTTTTTACCACCTAAGGAACTTAGTAAAAGATGGAAGTTGAATTTTCTTTTCCTACCTATCGCTCACCTTTCGATATCATAGTATATAATATAATTAATATTATAGTTATAGAATTTAATTATTTAATAAAAAACTTATATTTAATATCAGTTATAGTTTATAAAATATTCTATATATATATTTATTTATAAAAAAAAATTATTGGTTTATTTAATTTGTCAAAAATTCAAAATAATAATATTGAAAATTATTTATAAAAAAAATATAAAAATATATAATATATTTATTTAAATAATATAATATATAAGACCTATGAATTTATAGTACAGTGGTAGTGCTCTCAGAACACCAAGTACTGTTTCTGAGTTCAATATTACTGCAAGGTAGTATTACTTAAGCCTAGATAGTACAGAAGATTTCATCCATCTCATGATATTGATTATTGCTATCTATGATTAAGATCCTATCCGATCATAGAATAACCAAAGATTATAAGATACTTCAGCCAGTTTTAGTGTTGAAGCCACCTTGTCACAAGATAGATTTCAACAAGCTCCTGCAGATAGGTTGAAGATCTGCTTGCTGTAAAAATTCAGAAACTAACAGTGCTTAGGCACATTAGCATAAGAAGAGAGTCTCTATCATATTTGACAATCCATCCAAGACTTCATATGATCATCCCATAGGTAGACTATAATAGATCATATAAAAAGGATATTCAAAAAGAACAAAACAACATCGAAGACTCCACATGAATATTATATAGATATATTGTAATAGGTAGTATAAAAAGAATATTTAGTAGAATGAGATATGAAAGGGTCTCAGGTCCAAGCCAATCAGAGGGCAAGTCAATATGGCAAGGACCTGAACACAGGAAGGGGGGTAGTAGGGTTTTTTCTGGCAACATGCTACATGGGTCCTTGGCTAGGAAAAATGGGTTTATTGTAATGTTTAGCCACTATGTAAAGGAAAG